GGGGGTGAAACTTGCTTTTCAGCGCGATCACCCACGTGTGGCTGCGGTCCCACCAGAGGCTCGCTGGCGGCAGTGGGACATTACCGAGAGAAATCACAGAGGGCGATGTTCCTCCGGGTCCTAAGCACCCGCACTGAGAATTCCTCGTAGTGCGGGCAGCCCGACCCTGTGAATGCTACCTCCGCATGGGCGAGGCACAGGACGTAGAATTTGTGGGTGTCTGGGGCCTTGATAGGCCCTGAACACAGCGTGCAAGCTTTCGACATGCTGGAACACCGAGAGGGAAATCCTTCTTCTTGTGTCTTCTCCACAGCTGTCTTGAGTAGGAATTTGCATGAAAGAGGAAGATTCTGGGCATTATATAGCAGCGGGGCTCCGCCTCTATTTGCCGTCTTAGCTGGCATTGGCCAGTGAGAGTTGCAACTTCACTGGCATTGTGCAATAAGATTTCAGGTAGGTTTAGGAAGGTTCTGATGCCATGTAGAGAGACCATTCTCGAGAAAATTGTAGGTTGTTCTCTAATTTTGATCTCCACTGTATATCACCAATACAACAAAAAGTGATAGTAAAAACTTTAATATCACCCAATAACCAATATTGTTGTTTAATTATGTGCAAAATGCCCGAGTAGCAGAATAGTGGAAATATAGTAATTTACATAGTTTTAAACTCTATCTGTTTACCAAAACTAGCAAAAAGAAAAATTAAGTTGATTACCTTTTCAGGTATCTGGCATCCTTGAGGCACATCTATTAAATATGATTTAAGAAGATTTTCTGTTAATAAACAGTGCAAAGACTTGGAAAGCAACCCCTCTGAATGCAGTTATCACCAGTGTTGGGGAAAGTTACTTTTAAAAGTAATGCATTACAATATTGCATTACTCCCTAAAAAAGTAACTAATTAAGTTACTTTTGAGTTACTTTTTAAATCTGGGCAGGGCTTGCTTGTTTGTTTTTAATAAAAAAAAGTTCTTCTTTTACAAATGTAAAAGCCCTTTTCACAACAGAAGTGAAATGAATACACCTCAGGCTGAAGGAAATGTATATTCACGTCTGTACAGTAGAGGGCGCAGCTCAAACAAATTGCATGAAGAATATGACGCAGGAGCACTATTCAGCAATAACAAAAATGAAACAAATGTGTAATTTTAGCTGATTAGTATGGTTGAATTAGATAATCGACGGTCAATAGCAAAGACATTGGTTAATAAAATGGGATTAAATGCATAACTGATATGTCTTAACATATTTAATTATTGCAGGTTTATATAATATTCTGAGTTTGCATTTGACTGTTTTTATTCATTTTGAGGAATACTGAATCTGTTTTTGTGCAGTGAGAAGAGTAAATAATGTTCATATTTAGTCTAGAACTACAGTAGCATCACAGCGCACATAACGCCTCTGCACTTACTCCCGATTTCCCTCAACATGGCAACACGAGAGCTGTCAGTCAAGACATGGGAAACAAAGTAACTAGCGTTACTCATTTGAAAAAGTAACTCAGATATTTCCTTCTAAATTAAAACGTAATAAGTTACTTTACTAGTTACTTGGAAAAAAAGTAATCTGATTATGTAACTTGCGTTACCCCCAACACTGGTTATCACAGATCTATTCACTGAAAACAGGTGCACTAACCTCATAAGTGGTGAGAAGGACATGGAAGTGTTGGTTATTCCTGAGCTCTTTCTGGAGCTCTGCCCTTTTTTCTTTATCCCCAGTGTAATAGATCACAGACAGAATGGGACAGAAGCTGAATTAAAAAAAATAAATAAGAGAACCTTAACTAATCTCTCATGTTCATTTGGATTCAAGGTAGATACTAATCCAGCGTTTATATGCTACTGTCTCCATCTAGTGACAGTGACAACACATTGTCTTTATTTAAAATCAGTTCATGCTGGAATATTCATACATTCATAAAGTGACAAACAGTTTCACAGTCCTGTATCAGTAATAAATCAACATATCTTTAATATGCAATCTAAACTGACAACACAAGTCTAATCGTATACCAGCATTACCCTTACCGCTCTAACTCCTGTCTCCAGTTCTCCAAAACAGATAAGGGACAAAGCACAAGGAACGGTCCGTTCATCTTAAGGCATCCCCGAGCATATGCCAGCAAAGAAATGGTCTACAGCAGAGGATGAAATCTCACTTATCTGATATCTTGGAATAAATCTCTGACTTAAAAGCAAGTATTATAAGCAAGATAAACCCATTCCATTACTAACCTGGCAGGTCTTGCCCAGACCCATCTCATCACCAGACATGGGAAACAAAGTAACTAGCGTTACTCATTTGAAAAAGTAACTCAGATATTTCCTTCTAAATTAAAACGTAATAAGTTACTTTACTAGTTACTTGGAAAAAAAGTAATCCGATTATGTAACTTGCGTTACCCCCAACACTGGTTATCACAGATCTATTCACTGAAAACAGGTGCACTAACCTCATAAGTGGTGAGAAGGACATGGAAGTGTTGGTTATTCCTGAGCTCTTTCTGGAGCTCTGCCCTTTTTTCTTTATCCCCAGTGTAATAGATCACAGACAGAATGGGACAGAAGCTGAATTTAAAAAAATAGAGAACCTTAACTAATCTTTCATGTTCATTTGGATTCAAGGTAGATACTAATCCAGCGTTTATATGCTACTGTCTCCATCTAGTGACAGTGACAACACATTGTCTTTATTTAAAATCAGTTCATGCTGGAATATTCATACATTCATAAAGTGACAAACAGTTTCACAGTCCTGTATCAGTAATAAATCAACATATCTTTAATATGCAATCTAAACTGACAACACAAGTCTAATCGTATACCAGCATTACCCTTACCGCTCTAACTCCTGTCTCCAGTTCTCCAAAACAGATAAGGGACAAAGCACAAGGAACGGTCCGTTCATCTTAAGGCATCCCCGAGCATATGCCAGCAAAGAAATGGTCTACAGCAGAGGATGAAATCTCACTTATCTGATATCTTGGAATAAATCTCTGACTTAAAAGCAAGTATTATAAGCAAGATAAACCCATTCCATTACTAACCTGGCAGGTCTTGCCCAGACCCATCTCATCACCAAGGATGCAGCCCTGCTGGTTCTTCATACACTGTGACAGCCACCTCACTCCATCCACCTGATAAGACCTCAGATGAATTGCTGTAAGGAAGGAGATAAAGGATTGCAGTGTTGTTCCTAAGAACACTTTGAGAGTATTTCAATCCATAAAGTGGGCCTTTAAAAACTTTTTTTTTTCACTGGTTTCACAAATTAATATTCCATATGAAAAGCCAAGCTTGTCCAAAAATGTTGTATCATGAAATAGATGCCATTTCGCTCTAAAAGTGAACTTAAAAGACTAATCTCGAAACATACGTAATGAAAAGCATCATTTCAGACAAGTATTCAGTTTTATTAGTGCTCATTTGCGACAAAGCCACTTTATTTAATCTATGAACGCAGTCCATTATAATAATAATAATTTAATTTGTGAAACATTTTCATGCTAAAAAAATCTTAAATGATATACAAATACTTTGCTGATTTTAAATGTCACAAGACGCTCTCAATTCACACACCTTCTAATCCCCATTTTTTCAGGTCGCTCTCCGTTAATTCCGATTTGTCCTTTTCTGGTATGTTGCTTTTGATTGCTCGAAGAAATTTGGACATTTTTGTGGTTTTATTATGTTTACCTCAACCTTTAGACACTTTATTCAGTCGAGTATTTAAGTTAATAGCTTGCCTGCGCCAGAGTTTGACGTGAACTTCGGCATGACTACTTCCTGCAAGTGAGTGGGCGGGTCCCAGGACAGAGGTCGTCCAATGACTAGTCGGCGATGCAGACACGTACTTTAAAGGCGCCATTCTTAAAGGGGTCATATGATGCGATTTCAAGTTTTCCTTTCTCTTTGGAGTGTTACAAGCTGATTGTGCATAGATAAGATCCCTGAAGTTGCAAAGATTAAAGTCTCAAAACCAAAGAGATATTCTTTATCAAAGACTCTGCCATGCCTCCCTAAAATGGCTAACATGCCCCCACATATCTACCTCACTCTGTGGGTCACATCACAGTGGAGTCAGCTGTCTTAACCGTGGCTTGTGTACTGGAAACACATACCAGTTTCATCACTGTGTCTGTCATGCGACTCTGTTCCCCTTTCGGACATTTATTTTGAAAGATGAAGCTCGTGATTATGGTAAGGGGTGTTACATTTCCGACGAGTGCTTGCAGTGTTTGGTCAATCACAGTGCACTGGGTCAGCTGGCCAATCAGAGCAGACTGCGCTTGTCGGAAGGCGGGACTTTGTAGAAAACGAAGCGTTTGAGAGAGGCGGGGCATAGAGGACCTACAATAATGTACAGTATCTGAAAAATAATGTGTTTTTTGAACATTAAAGCATGTCAACATATTCTGTTACACCAAATACACAACATAATGATCTTTAAAAAAGCATCATATGACCCCTTTAAGATAAATGCATTTTACACACACACACACGCACACAGGTAAAACCAATCTATTGCCAATTCACAAAATCCAGACAAATCATCTGTGAAAGTGTCAATTACAAAACAATTTTTAGATATTTACACAAAAGAGTGAGCTGATAAAACTAGTCTTTATTTACAGGGTTTTTATCATACAATATTGAGACAAAGGTAGGAAAAATTGAAAGTGCAACGTTCAAAAACCACCCCCAAAATATTTGTTTTTATAAATATCAATTTTAAAGTAGGTCTGTTCAATAACCTTTGCTGTTTTACAACATGTTTTAAAAAACACATTCAGTAGAAGGCAGCCTTATTCTTTATGTTCAGATTTAACAAACTGTTCAACTAGCCATTACAGCAATGTCCCATTGTGCCATTCTGTCAATGATCATTTGTGCATGCTGAAATCACCAAATACTTGAGCGGAAAGTTCCTGGGGTGATGAAAGGCAAAACCTCAGCTCTTCATTTCACACACATGGTAAACAGCATGGAGAAAAACTTGAGGATGGCATCTCTGGTTAAGGCAAAGAAGAGAGTATAAAGGCATTATAAAATAATCTCTATTTTAAAGCAGACAGGTCCGAACAAGTCTGCTCTTGATTACTGCTGTCATTTACCAGAATAAACTATTGAAAAATGTTTCATTTATAATTGAATACAACAAAAACCACACATTCATCAATATGTTAATATCTAATGCTGAGCAATTCAATATTTTGAAATCACAAAATATAACTAACCTTGCAAAAGGAATGTATGACAAGCTATACCTACAGAGAAGAAAAAAAAAATCAATTGATAAAATGTGTTTCAGTACAATATTAAACTGGGTGCTGAGATACTCATTTAAATAATATGCTTAAAATATATTTACTACACAGCATCCATGGAAACTTACCACGCAAATGCAAGCACTTGCAGAATGACAAACAGCAAAGTGAGTGCAAAAATCTTCCACTGTGGTACAGAGATCAGTGTTAAAAAAAAAGCATCCAATAATATTGTACCATCTGATTCAGACTTAGTTTGACATATACATTAAGGATAGACTAGAACTCACCCAAAATGCTGCACAGAGTGTGAGAACCAGACATGTCTGTAGACCACAAAATAAAAAGTCAAACTTTCAGTATCCATTGCAAAGTTGGTCCAAATACTGTATCTATAATCAGAAACTGTATTCGCTGTAACTGGCAGATTGTCAAATAATGCACATGAACTAAAATCATTTTCCCACTGGCTGTTGCATCCAATGCATTTTTGGAATGGCACTAATTCTAGGAGAAATGTAAAAGTTATTTATATAAATACAACATGAATTTTACTTCCAAAATTAGTATATCCAAATTAAACATTTAATGAAGATACATGTGTCAGTAAGTTGTTGTTATTTTAACATGTGTGTTTAGCTCAGTGTTATTTTTTTAGGATTACTGATAAACTAATGTAGTTTGATTTGTATTAGTTATCTATTTTAGTTTTAGTTACAGTTGTAGTAATGTTGTCATTTTATTAGTTTTTTTATTATGTCTATATAGGTTTTTTTTTTATTAAGTTTTAGTTTTATTTAATTTGAGTCATTTCAGTACTTCAACATACAAAAAGGAAATGAAAAAAAAAAAATATATATATAGAATGTATTTATATATATGTACATGTATGTGTGTGGCTGTACATACACATATGTAACGTAGTTGTTTTTGTGGTGTTTGGCTTAGTGTTATATTAGAATCATTATTATACTCATACCGTTTGTTCTTTTAATATTTTGAATTGTTTTTAGCTTTATTTTTATTTTTTTCATTTAAATGTTTAGTTTTGAAATGTTGTTGTATGCATTTGTCATTTTTATTTAATTTATTTTCTTAAATGTGTATATATATATATAGTATTTATAGAGTTTTAGCTTTTCGTTTTAATGACTTTTTCTTATTTGTAAGCCGCTTCGGATAAAAGCGTCTGCTAAATGACTAAAAGTAAAGTAAAATTAATAAGAAAACTGATTGGGTCATGAACATTATAGATGTCATTATTATGAACTATTTCAGGCAGATCCTCATTGTTGGTTTTATGAGAAAATTAGTGTGGGGCGTGGACAGGAATAACTTACCAGCATAACAACTGTAGCAAAGGCTCTGGTCTTGTCACACATCCGTTTCAGCTGTTTCAACGGCCCCATCAGAAACATGGTGCTGGGGGTAGGTTCAAATTAAACAGTGAAGTCATCCAAACAGAATAATAAATAGTAAGAGCATTTTCGTTGCAAGCTTTATGACTTACCTTAATAATGAGCATAGGTTGCCAAATGTGTAAAACACAATGAAGATTATCACCCCTATTTTAGGAATAAACAGGCAACATACTCCCTGAGAAAAAAGTACGGCTTTTAATATAATAGAACTTGGTTAACAGAAACAAAGAATAATACACTTCTCAATCAAGATACTTGAAATGCCTTTTGCAGTGTGCATCAATCTCATTCCTGAGAGCAGGTCAAACCGGTGACACAGCTCTGCTTCTATTCCTCCAACTCATCGCCTATCCCTTCACAACAGTCAGGACGTTACCTGTGTGTAAAAGTCCACTGATAACTAAAATAAAAGTATTTAAAGTTCAAGTCACTGACCAGGATAGTGCACACTACTCCGATGACCATACAGATGAGGAAACCTTTCACACGCTTTCCCCATCCCAGCGTGGACGCCTCATTCGCCGCCTAAACACAGTGAATAGACGACTGTGATTTACATGGGCCTTTTTCCTCCCAAAAATAACGTATCAAATTGTGAAGTCGTTATGCCAATACGTGCAAAATCAGCGACATGTTGTTGCTTTAAATTTGTGTTTAAACGTTTTAAAGATCTTAATTAGGAGTACAAAAGACAGTAATTTACCTGTAGTACATTTCTGTTGTCATTGTTTCCATCACGACCACTCAGAACCGCTCTGAGTTTGTCCATTGCTGCACATCCAGTTCTCTGTATTAATTGAATCGGTTCACTCTAAATCCCTGAGAACGTGTCGTTTCATCGTCCAGCTGACACTCGCTTGTCATCACTAGTGTTACCTTTACCTTTTGGCTCCCTTCATTGAACATGATTATCACCTGGTGCTCACGCACGCCACCTACTGGTACTGGTGAGGTGCACTTAAAAATAGCTTGGTACAGCGAATGAATCATGTTGTTTTTAAGAGACCTTATTTATTTTCTTTTCTCTTTTAATTGGGTCATATGTTTATATTTATATATAATAACGCATTATTTAAAAAAAAAAAGTTTTTATTTTTTATTGTTCATTGAGAGAAATATGTGACCAGTCATAAGGGTCAATTTTGACATGACTGAAAGTTGAACGAATAAGCTTTCCATTGATGTATGGTGTGTTAGGATAGGACAATATTTGGCTGAGATACAACTATTTGCATATCTAGAATCAGAGGGTGCAAAAGATCTAAATATTGAGAAAATCACCTTTAAAGTTGCCCAAATGAAGTTCTTAGCAATGCACATTATTAATCAAAAATGAAGTTTTGATATATTTATGTTAGGAAATTTACAAAATATCGTCATGGAACATGATCTTTACTTAATATCCTAATGATTTTTGGCATAAAAGAAAAATAGAAAATGTTGACCCATACAAGGCATTGTTGGCTATTGCTAAAAATATACCTGTGCAACTTCTGACTGGTTTTGTGGTCCAGGGTCACATATGGGAAAAAATACCAACACATGGCAAAAAAACAAAAAAACATTTAATATTAATACACAGTTATTGCACACTGTTATGCACTAATAAAATATTTTATTGGGAAAAGTTTTTAGAAGTTCTTTAAAAAATGTACTCATTATCAAGTCAAATTAAATTAAATCTATTAATAAATGCATGGAATAAGATATTACAATTTCAAGATTCCACATGCAATGGCCTTTTTTCAGTCAAGGGCCAAGGCAAAGAATACTATGGCACAAACGAACAAAGCAGACTAGCTGAGGAATTATGGCTGTCAAGAAAATATAAAAGCATAATTCATTTGATGACAAAAAAAAGTCTCCCACAAACCTGCAAATCTCAAAGGCATTCAAATATAACAATTTTCGCACGTAGATCATATAGTACTACTAAAAGCATGATAAAAATCTTATATTCTCTGTCCTTAGTTGACAACATATAAAATACTGACACAAATAAACTCTCAAATTTACACAGTATTGCGTCAAAGCCAAACAATGCAATGACAACAAAAAGTGTACATAAAGACTCAAAAATAATCAATACATCATATTTGATTGACTTGATGCAAACTTGTAAAGAAAATAATCCGTTTTAATTAATTTATTAGAGTAGGTTGGTCCTGAGGTGCATCAGAGAAATAGGGATTAGTGAAATAAAAAAGGAATGACCACACAAGATAGCGGACCGCATGGACAGAGAGTTGTAACTATCATACTGGGAAAATGAGTGAGAGATATAACACTATGGCTCTTCTGATTTACTTACAGTCCCTTGTTATAGTATGATGAAACAGATCTTGGGAAGCAAGACTGTCACTGTTTGTCATCTCCCATCTGCTCTTCAGGAAATTAAGACAGAGCTAATATTTAGTGACAATGCCTCTCTGTTCATATCTATCTCTCGCTCTCTGTCTCTATACTTTTCTTTGGAATCAGGTCCAAGTGTATTTGGATGCTGGCATGAACGTGTAAGGATGATAAATACTCATAAAATCTCATCTTCAGACTCTACTTCTTTCTCCCTTGGTTTCAAAAGCCCCATTTCCATGGGTGGCATCCTCCTTAGTCTGGAACGCACAGCACTGGAGGGAGAACAATGAAGGAAAATAAGAAGGAACTCAATGAATCAGAAAGGAAACTTCAGTAAAAGTATTATTTCGTATGCTATGTACACTATTGTTCAAATATTTGGGTCAGTAAGATTTTTAAACATTTAAACCTCTTATGCTCACCAAGGCTGCATTTATTTAAGCACAATAACACAATAAAAGCAGTAATATTGTGATATATTATTACAATTTAATATAACAGTTTTTTATTTAAATATATTTAAAAATGCAATTTCTCCTTTTGATTACAAAGCTGAATTTTCAACAGCTATTCCTCCAGTCTCCAGGGTCACATGGTTCATTCTGACAGGCTGATTTGGTTCTCTAGAAAGATTTCTTATTATTATCAATTATTTAAATATAAAACATTTTATCAATTGAAAACAGTTGTGCTCCTTAATATTTTGAGGATACACATAATTTTTCCTAGTATCTTTCATGAAGATGAGGTCAAAAGGACAGCATTCATAGAAAATAGAAATAGAAATCTTTTTTGACATTATAAATGTTGTTTTTTTTCTGCTACATTTAATTGTATGTGTCCTTCTTGAATTTCTCAAACATTTGAATGGTAATGTAGTTTATGCTTCTTTATGCCTGAACTGTAATTTTTTTGTATTTCATGTTAGAATGAATAGAATATGTCATGCTCACCAGAGAACAGACCAGTAAACTACAGCTACAGTGAGCAATGCAAATGCTAGATGCCAGCAGTAGCATAATGTGACAAAGACCGAGTTGTCATGGTCTGTCTGATCCCATTTCACTTGACTGGGTGGGTACAGCACAAAGCCAATCTAGAAAAATACAAGAATGAGAGTTAAACAGTCTTGGGTCTAAATGACTTGCACATTTATGTATGCACTTGTGACACACACAGACACACACACACACACACACACACTGACCTGCCACAACCAGCTGCCCTGCAGTATGGTGAGAGTGGCTCGGAGCAGTTCGAGTAGAATATTCCCTCTGTGGAAAACCTCCAGAAGGCAGATGAAAGCTTGTCCAAAGATGGCATAGAGGAGAAGGGTGTGCACATGGACATCAAGCATATCTCTACCATGGAGATGGTAAAGAAATAGAAATCCTGCAGGAGGCAGACATGTGCTGAATTTTATTTTTTGTTGAATTATCACAAAATAGAAAAACGTAATTTCAAGAGTAACAAAGAGTGCTCGGTTTGGGTAACAGTTCACACATTCCCCAACATCAAAAACCACATTTATAAAATACTCTTTCACATAGTATTTTTGGTCAACAATCACCCTTGCACACCTGTAAGTATTTAATAGGTTTGTGGGAAAAACGAGGTCCAACTTCAAAGGTCCAACTTCAAAACAAAACAAAAAAAATTCGCACACTATCCACACTTGCAAATGAATCAAAATATTTATTAACTAACAAAATTTCGGTCCATCACCTTCATCAGGCACGTACAGTACATACATAGTACACATACATAGCATTTTTGGACCATTTTAGAAACAGTCTGGGGGAAAAACAAGATCCTACCCTCATTAAAGAAAGCAAGACCCAGCAGCATCCGATCTAAGGCCAGCGGGGCGATGTCTGTGCTGTGGACAGTGAGAGATATGGCCCCTGCGATGGCAAAGAACAGGTACATGGTGGTGTGCTGCCAGTTCATCAGCTGCTCCCAGTGCTGAGTGGAAGAATCATACAGCTGAAACTTGGGCCCACCTGCTAAAAGCTGCTCTGCTAACATACCTGTATAAAGGGCAGAAGAAAACTAGTTGAGTTAAAAATATAATAAATAAACTTGCTTTCATTACTCTAATAAATGGCTCATTATAGGAGGCCTAAAAACTCAACTTAAAATGATTTAAAATAAGCATCAAAATATTAAAGCAGTAAAAACAAAACAAACTTTAAGAATAAGCTAACAATCAATTAATTCATCTGCTCAACAAATGTATTTTTTCTTTGAATAACCAGGGTTCCCACTGCTTGAAAAACCTAGATATGCAAAGAAGCTCAATTCCAAAAGTGTGATATCTAAACATGGAAAAGTTTATTAATGTATAATGTAGAATGTATAACTCCATGGGCAGATTTATACTTTTTATGAATATACATTTTCTGGGTATGCCAAGCTCTAAAATATTTTACTGGGTAGAAATTGTGAATAAAGTATTTTTTAAAAAGTAAACTGAAAACAACTGAAAAAGTCATGGAGCCGTATTGTTATGGACAATGTTGAACCTTCTCAAAGTTGAGAACCACTTATCTAGATCACTATTACCAAAGGGCAAACAACACACAGAAAATTACACAACCTATAATTTAATACCATTTTTTAACCATATAATCAACTTAATAAATCTATACAGCAAAAATGGCTCTCAAAATCATAGTTTCTTTGCTGAACCTTGGGTGTTTCAAAGACGCATCAGAAAGCTTTATTTGTCCATATGTATGATGATGCTTCTTATTCTATTAATAAAAGGCATAGCGGCAACTCACCAATAATAGAAAATGATAAAATGACAGCTCCTTCTATGATTTCTATGCGGCGTTGTGTAGCTCGAGACGCAAGTCTGCCAGCACCAGCACTTTTATTCCTGCGGGTGGCATACAAAAATGTCTGCTTTGCGGCCCACCACAGGCCGGTGATCAGGAAGAAACTTCCAGGCAATGCATGGCCTTTAAAACTTCCCATGTTTTCCTAAATGTCCTGGAAATCAGAATAACAATTGTATTTAATAATAATATAATAAACCACAAAACAAAAATATCTCATTATATCATGCTTCATTATATCTCAAAATGTGGCAAAGCAAAAGACAGTGTTTACTGGACACACTTAAAGATGATATTGGAGACTCTGTATTTATAAGCAACACTTTTCCCCTTAGGAGTGGCATATCAATACAAGATTCCCATTTTTACATTTATTGGCACTGGATTGTTACTCCAGTGTGGAGACTAACAGTGCTAGACAATCAAATCCAGCATATTTATTGCCATCCTGAACAAATAATGCCACACACTACAGACTGCAGGGGTTAAGGAAATGTCAGAGATACAAATCATAATGCAGAGGAAGGTGCTGCGACCTAGTCCATGCAGCCTAATGAGGGGTCCAGGCGTGCACCTCTCAGTTCTATTTTTAAACAGCAAGGTGAGGATAGCTGGAAAAAAATCCCCAAACCATGTTAAATCAGAAAGTCTACTCTATTAATCTTGGAAACATAAACCTACATACTGAAAGCAGTCTCCTGTCTTAAACATTCACCAGACACAGGAAGAGTAAAGTTGTTTGCTCTTGACAGATGTTTGAAAATGAGTTTAACATTTAACTTTAATACATGTTTTTTGCTTTTAATCAGTAAAATATAAAGTAACCCAAACAATACAAGGGAAATTATAAAGAATGGCGTCTTCTGTTCCTCCTTTCCTCTTGTAGAGGATGATTTCTGTAATATTTAATCAACAGACTGATCAGTTCTTGGCCCTGAAGTCATCCAGGTCCCATGACATTCCAAAGGAAGGTGGTCATTACTGCCATAATTAGTGTGCAATCAGAGTGTGTCCTGGAGACCATGACCGCTTATCACATAAATGTCACCTTCTGTTTACAACCGCTTTTAGAAAGTAAGCTAAATTCAAACATGTGAAAAAGACACTATGAGACAGCAACCACATAGGCCTAATGATCAATTGGTTAAAAAATCTAAGTGATGGTAATAATGAGAGTTTGAGACAAAACTGATAATCTTATTGCATAGTGCTGGGCGGTATACCGGTTCATACCGAATACCGGTGTTTATTTTTGTTATGATATGAATTTTTTAAATACCGCAATACCGGTGTATGTCACTTAAACAACATTCGGAACGTGGCACTGTTTGAAAGGGGTCCCTTTTCACTGTTGCACTGTGGCGAGGGAACAGCTGTATGTGTTACTAAGCGTGAAAGTTCTGAAACTGAAGCTGTAGAACTAATAGAACGTGATGACAGAAGAACTCATCCACAATATCCACATTGACCGCCACAAATATCCACCGCCCCACACCCCCAACACACACGAGCGCGGCTTTAGCACTAGATTTAGCAACGTTCAGACCCTTTTAGCGGATTTTTTCCATAGAATATTCATACTGACAAACCTAGCGACTTTTTTGGATAAACCTTAGCTATGGTTCAGTTGGAAGATTTCGCCAGTGCTGTCCCGCGAACGCAAGGTCTGACTTTCCCGGAGAAGTGTCACCTCTCTCGGTGTCTGTTCTGTTCCGTGAGCGGCAGAGAAGCAGTGAATTCAGTTGGCCGCACCGCAGTCGACTCGTCAATAAATGAATACAAAACAGTGTTTCCTAGCACCTGTCGCTTGCTGATTGTTTGGAATTATAAATATGAGCGTAGTTCATTTGTTAATATCACATGCACTTTTTTATTTATTTTTTTTTTTTTGTTTGTTACTCAGACGCAGACAGTGCGCTGCATGAGACAAAAAAGTAATATAGCCAAAACAACCGCATAGCCGCTCTTTAGTGTAGATGCATGTTGATTTTATCAGACGATGCCGCGATTATAAATGAGAGTGACTCCCGGTTAACATGTATTAAAAGGGGTCGTGTTTAGTCACTATTTAGTGTGGTATTTTTTGACAATATTCACTCATCATGACAGTAAAATAGGGCATTCTAAGTCAATATACTGCAGTATTTCCTCTCTCAATCAGTAGAAAATATGGTTAACACCCGGTCATGCATGAAAAAAATACCGTCATGAAACCGGTATCATATTGAAAAATACCGTGATACATTACATCAGCATGGCGCCGCAAATGGCAGCAAAGACGCTGAGCTCCGCAATTCTTCTATTGTTTTTGTTTGTTTGTTCTGTGTTTTGTCATTCTTCTTCTATAAGTTTTACCAGAGACAACTCCTTAACATTAAGCAGCACATCCCGGACAACATTTTTCTGGTTTTTGATTATTCGGACGTTTTGTTGGACATTCTAGTCGGAGGTACAGCGGTGTTGTTCAAACGCGCGTGCAGACGCAGAAGAGGGAAACGCGCCGGCGCCCTGGTGAAGCTTGTTTCCTAGCACCTGTCGCTTGCTGATTGTTTGGAATTATAAATATGAGCGTAGTTCATTTGTTAATATCACATGCACTTTTTTATTTATTTATTTTTTTTTGTTTGTTACTCAGACGCAGACAGTGCGCTGCATGAGACAAAAAAGTAATACAGCCAAAACAACCACATAGCCGCTCTTTAGTGTAGATGCATGTTGATTTTATTAAGACGATGCCGTGATTATAAATGAGAGTGACTCCTGGTTAACATGTATTAAAAGGGGTCGTGTTTAGTCACTATTTAGTGTGGTATTTTTTGACAATATTCACTCATCATGACAGTAAAATAGGGCATTCCAAGTCAATATACTGCAGTATGTCCTCTCTCAATCAGTAGAAAATATGGTTAACACCTGGTCATGCATGAAAAAAAAATACCGTCATGTACCATGAAACCAGTATAACTGTGAAAAATACCGTGATATAAATTTTTGGTCATACCGCACAGCACTATTGCATAGACATTTTTGCATATGCTGTTTCGTTTTGTAATAGCTTATTTCAATTTCAAATGTATGTCAGTATTTACCCTTGTGTCATTCCAAAGCAATTCCCCCTATTTGAAAGTGAAGAAAGAAAGTTATAGACACGAGGGTGAGCAAATGTTGACACAATGTTCATTACTGTGTCACTATTTCTGTATTGTATTATTCACTATATGACTTTGAATATCATGGCAATGAGTAGCATCTCTGCAGCCTTGATCAAACCAGTCTTTCAGTGGTCTAAACACTGTTCTTCAGGATGCTCTGCTGTTACCATAGAGACACACTAAGCTTTGAGTCTCTCCAGCGAAGAGGCCCGATCCAATCCTTTCATGTATTTATGACAACATAAGAACGACATTATTTGGAATTGTACATACATACAAACAATCAGTCATTTTGTAATACGAAACCAAATAAGAGGCACCATAGTGCAGTTTTACAAAGAATAAAACATGAAAAACGATGTAAAAAAAAATATGCTGTAACAACAATCCTGCACGTTTCGTGATAAAATGACTGAAGTATCCTACATTTTTAAAATCGTTTAAAAACCGTCGCACCGTTGTCTGCGGAAGACTATATAAACGTATCATAACGTTACTTCACATATAATGTTTATTGGGGATAAAGGTCTGCTGTGTTCACGTTTTATTGGGCTTTCTCGAGACTTTCCGAAGTCTACAGACTAAAACACCCATATTAGATACTATGATATAATTACGTTTTCTTTTTAAATCACAGTCTTCTAGGGAACATATAAAAATTACGTTATATTGTAGGTAATTAACGTTACACGTAAGTAACTGCATTAGCTCACCACAGGTCCGTTGTTTGAGGTAACGTTAACACTATTAAGAAATAAAAGTGGAAAAAATAATAACTTAATTCGGGCACAGTAAGTGGTCTGTATTATGAGTTAAGAATACACAGTTGATATCTTACCTTATAGATTGACCAAATAATTGGTATATTCTTGAAAATTTTGAGACGAAATCTCAGTGGCGATGTTTTTTCTCGAGAGACTGTCATCTGATGCTGTAAGTAACAATATACTAAATTCGTTCAAACATTCTCACACGACTCTTATTCGTCCCTTATCAGCATCATGCCTTTTTATTCCATCAGGAACTTGCGAATTAGCAACTTCTTCCACTTTTCCAGCTGTTTCGAAACCAGAGTCGGGGTTTGATCTTTTTCAGCGCGTCTTCTCACTGGAACCTCCCATTTCATGAAACGATTGGTTCATGAGGGGACCAGACGTCATTGTTTTCGGATTTGATTGGTTAGCTTACCTGTCAATCAACAGTTGGTCTCTTTTCCACGTGTGCAGTTTTCTCCAAAAGAAGCAGAGCAGAAAAGGTCGTCCGCTATTTTAACAGTCAACAGAAATTTCAGTCTTATAAAATAACTTATAAAATATATTTTGAAAACGTTTTTGTATATATTGTGTTTTGTTTTTATGTATGTTAAAACCTCGTTAAATCAATTATAGATAGATAGGCAGATCACAATTAATTTTAAAATGTTCTCTTTAAAGTTTTAGGTAACGTTACTTTGCAAGAGAAGATAGGCCACGCTCGCCAAAGGCTAAAGTTTTCATAATGCTTTGGTCCAGTTGTTGTATAATATTTTGATGGCATACTGTTTTATTATAACAGCTTTTACAGAGTTGTATGTTTTATAAATGTAGGGCGGGACATGAGGGCAGGGTTTTTGTACGGTCACAAGAGGGCCTGACAAGGAAGAGAAGAACATCATCTCACTGTTTTATTTATTTTACACTTTATAACGTGGCACTCATATTACATAGTAGCTACACAGATACTGAATGCATTAAACTAAACAACATCCTGGTACCAAACTTATGAATTCAATGAATTTTGTAAAAACAAAGTTGGGTAAATAAAACAACAGCCTACTTTCAAAATAACAGCACTATATAAAAACTTTACAGCAATGTAGGTATTTCTTAATCTGTTGATGTTTAATTAAAAGTATGATTTTAGTACAAACAACATATTCTACATCTTTGAAACATATTCTTATTTGAAAAATCTCTGCCTTTGAATTTGGCATGTGTATGTTATTGGGTAATTCAGATGTGCACTGTGCAATATATATAAAAGCCGAGAGATGGACAAAGAGAAAGCAAAAAGGCTCTGTAGTCAGACACTTAGAATGCATGGTTTTCAGCCTAGCCAAACATCCTGTCCTCATCACTCCACAGAGGAAAATAAGCAAGAAAGATGGAAAAGGAGGGTCAGGAACAAATAAAGCCAAAGCTCTTCAGATTCATATAAAGATGCACATCCATAACGGTCTTTTCCTAGGAAGTGTGTGCAAGCAAAATACCATATAATCATGCTGCATTACACACTCGCCTCCACCCAGAGATGATGTATGTTGTTTTTATTTACATATAAACACATTAAATCAGTGGTCACAGGCTAAAAGCAGACATGGAAATGATCATGCAGTGATGGAAAATGGGCATTGTCAGGGAAACTGGACACGCGCAGAGGACTAGTAGGGGGGCTCAGGCATGGTCACATGAACTCGACAGGTGGGACATGACTGTTTCTGCCAAAGCCATTTTTCAACTGAAAGAAAGAAAAGCCAAATTATGGAGGGCATTCAAAGCCAGAATGTGGCTGCATATAAAACACTGAAAACTACTGAAACATACATCTGCACATGCTAAACAGATTGCAACATTATTTTGCTTTTAAAGAACTACAGGCTTAGCAAAACACACTATCAGTTTGAATTTAAGCTTATATGATGTTGAAAACCTTTTGATTTGCATATTTATGCTTAAATTCTTGGGAAAATGAAATTTGTCAACATATTTATGAATATATTTACAAATAAATGACTGGTAGTGTACGTGACGTAAATGCTAAAGGAAGTACTGTTCAACTAAACCAAATGTATATATCACTGAGATCTATAGCAGAGGCATGATGGCAATAGATGAAAAACAGATCTGTTGACCTTTGAGGGGCAGAACTGTGACCCACCATTGATTTCCATTACAGTGGTGTGATTAGCCACCAGCTAATTTCCAGCATGTGCATTTAACAACTGTAGCTTCATAACTGCAACTCCTGACATATGACCTGCAAATTCAGGATTTTGCCATATTTACAGTTTCAGCATCCATAAATCTAAATCCAAAATAAGCCAAAACATCTTATATTCACAGTTTGGTTTTCTAATCCAAAATAGCTGTATAAAATGAACAACAGGATCATGAATAATAACAACAACAGTTTATCAGATCCATGCACATTAACTCAAACTAAATTTGATTGACAGTTTACTAATACACAGACTACAATAACCATATTATGGTTCCTATAATTCTTACTATAGGAAAAGCACAAAAAGTACTAAAACATGACATTTGAAACAGCAATATTTATAAAATGCAAATGACTTGGAATGGGGAAACAAATAAAAACACTGGTATTTACTGTTGTTCTTTGCTTTTCTGATTTCAAAAGGGGGAAAAAGACAAAACTTTCCTGCAAAAAAAGAGGTTAATTTTGTGTGTGGAGCTAAACACAAAGTAAAACTGACAATTAACAAGTATTTTGATAATATACTGAGTGATTACTGTTTAGTTTAAAGGGGTCATATGATGCAATTAAAATTTTTCCTTTCTCTTTTCTTGGAGTGTTACAAGCTCTTGGTGCATAAAGAAGATCTGTATAGTTGCAAAGACTAAAGTCTCAAATCCAAAGAGATATTCTTTATAAAATATCCTACCTAAAACGGCTCGTTCTAACACGCCCCCACATATCTACGTCGCTATGTGGGAATATTTGCATAACGCCGCCCAAATGTTCACGCAAAGAAAGAAGGTGTAACTTTTATTCTCACTGTAGTTTTGTTGTTTCCGCCGCCATGTCATAAAGACGCTGTGTGCTTCGTTGTGAAAGCGAAACATCTTTGTTTGGTCTTCCAAAAGAGAATGATATCTGCTTCATCATGCCTGGAGCTGATCTGTGCTGGTTGCTGAGGAAATACAACAACTTTGCGCTGTCGATCGCCGGATTGGCTTTCACAGTGGACGAAGCGGAGTCCAGCCCAGGGTCGTCACATGTGGTTGCCGCAAGCCCTCCGGACGCTCCTTCGTCGAATCCGCCGGCCGCGCCGTTCTCAAGCACGCCGCCTCTGCTCACTCTAACCCTCTTTATTCTCGCTGTAGTATTGTTGTTGTCGCCGCCATGTTGTGAATTGTGACGCTGTTTCGTGGTGAAAGCGAAACTACTTTGTTTGGCCCTCCAAAAATGGACAGAACTAGAAATCAGCGGTTAAGTTGTATTTACAACACTGTTCCAGAACACTTCAACCCAAATATTTGGATATGTGCAGCACATTTTATGGAGGACTGTTTCCTGATCCTGGAAGAGTAGACTACAATGCCGGCTGTTCTGACTCACAGACTGTAAGTACGTCTTTTATATTTAAAGAGTTTTTATATTTTATATATTTAAAGCGAGTTTTTTGGACAGAGTAGAGTAGTGCTTGTTGTTTGTCATTTCTCCGATCACAAATGCAGACATGGTTTTATGTTTACACGGCGCGATGCAACGCAATGTGTAAAAAGACAATATAAGTCATTATAATCCACAATTATGTCCCCACTGGATGCAACGAATGCCTCGTTTATAATGGGTTTTCATGTTTTTGAATCATCGCTCCGGCCTGACAGGGCATCATCACAATATGGCAAGGGTCGTAACATTTCCGTCTCACGCTTGAGGTATTCGGCCAATCACAACGCACTGGATAGCTGGCCAATCAGAGCACACCTTGCTTTTTCAGACCGATGAGCTTTGTAAAAATCGACGTGTTTCAGAAAGGCGGGGCATAGAGGAGAAACAATAATGTACAGTATGTGGAAAATAATGTGTTTTTTTAACCTTAAACCGCATAAACACATTTAATTACACCAAATACACAAAATACTGTTCTTTTTAGCAGCATCATATGACCCCTTTAACTACTATTCATACATACAGTACACTTAAAAAAGAATGATTACTTTTTTAAAATAATATTATAATAATCAAAAGAACCTTTTTCCACTATAAATAACCTTTTGTGCAATGGAAAAGTTCCACGGATGGTACAAGTTCTGCATGGAACCATTGATGCCAATAAAGAACCTTTATTTTTTAGAGTGTATGTTAAACTGAAAACAATGAACGTTGTCTACGTAAAGAGAGTTGGCGACGGGGTAAGCGATATTCCTCCTGTCCAGGGCAGAAAGGTATCTCTTTTCCTCTCTCACAAGCAGGTGCAGAACTCCCACTACGTGGACGTGCGCCGTGCTCTGGCCATTTTGCCTTCCCAATCCATAATCAGAGACGACAGCAGATTCAGTGTCATAGTTGGCACAAAAGCAGCAAGTAACCAGATAAACGTCATGCATGCCAGGCGGGGAAAAGCACCGATTTTGAAAGCGTTGTTCACTTGGTGTCATGCGTAAACTGCTATATCCATTAAGCCACTGCTTCAATTAACAATTTGATACTGTTAGAAGGCAACAGAAGAGAGAAATGATGCAGGAAGTGTTTACCTCTTTATGAAAATGATGGCCACAGTGAAGTTCTTGGATGCCACCCCTTCCATTCCGTAGTTCTTCATGGCAAATAAGACATATGCTATCAGCATCACCCTAAAAAATAAACCAGAAAAAAAACATCCAAAAGTGTTAATATTATGGCTGTAGGGTATCAGAGTGAATCAGACAATTTAAGATTCGATCAGATTGGTGTTGAACAACCCAAAGAGCCAAATTCAACAAAGAGGCCGAGGATGACGTTAAACCACGTCATAAATCTGTCCACGATACCCTGGTGCCACAAGTCTGAAGCAAGTCTAACTAACCAACTCTTTCACAGAACAGCTTTCAACATGAACACAAAATAACACATTGAAAATTTCAACTCAGGAAGGAGATTGTCAATTTTGGGGCAAGTAATCAAGATTGATGGTCAAAGAGATGCACAGCATGACCATCACATGTAAATCCATTATATTGTGAATTATATTCATGTAGGGTATGTATGAGTGTGAAAATTCCTGCTTTAAATGTTTTATCAATCAATACTTTGTCAAATGTATTATATTTTTCTTATAGAAATCATGTCCAAAATTATACTCTTCAAGAGCGGGAAAATTCGGACCAT